AGGGAACCAGCTTGCTTCTGAGCTGGAGGGGATGAAAGCGCTGCTCGAATCCCTAAGGGGCGAGTGTGGGGCTAGCCTGACTGGAGACCCTGACCAAGGGCAGAGAGTTGGTTCGGGACTCTCTGCTTTAGATGACGATGCTATATCTCTGGCGGCATCTGGCACTGATTTTCGGGATCATTTTCACTCCGGCTCACTTCTCTCAGAAGCCAGCTCGCATATCTCTTCTGGCTCTCAGTCAGAGGAAGATGGTTCAATAGTGGGCGCTCTGAGAACTGCTCTCGCCCGGTTGCAGCTGGATGCTACACAGGACCTTTTCGAGGCTGACCTCTGATGGCAGGGCACTGGTGGCCATGCAAGATGCGCCCAATTTTGGCTTGGGCCATATGCCTTCTGTTGAGCTGGCCATAGCTTCCCTCATTGTGGATGAGGCTTTAAGAGCTAATGCCAGGTGTCAGTGCCGTGTCACTGGCGACTTGGTAATTCCCTGTCGCATTTATTGCTGGGTCTCTCAGCTTCGTTGGAGGGTGTCACAATCGATGCACCTACTCAAGGACTGATGGACGCATCTATCCATGTGTTTCCTCCTCTGTCGTGGGAAATCGTACGTTTCCTGTCTTCCCTTGTTCAGGCATATTGCCAGGTTTGGCTGGCTCAGTCTCCTCTAACAGAGGCTTGTAGAAGGACCCTGATGGGCCTTCCAGTGGTTCCTGCAGAGTTGTTTGGCTCTGCTGCGCTTGCGGCCCTGGAGCGGTCGGCCCAGGCAGCAGTTGGCCGCCTTCATCGCAGACGAGTGCAGCGTCCTGCTGGGAGTGCCTCGGTGTCCCTATCGCGGACTTATCCTGCCCAAACTGCACCCTGCTTGGGGCAGCCACCGCTTGCTGCAGGGTCTGCTGCAGGACTTGCCCATGTCCAGTGGGATCCACCCAGAGGTCGGGCTCATCTCGCTTCTTAACCCAGGCGGGCCGCTCGGCTATTTGTTCAGCAGCCTCTTGGTCATCCCCGAATACCTTTGCTAGGTTTTACAGGGTTAGCTTGGCTGCCTTTCACCTAATGGAGGGGATCCTATCCCGGCGCGCACCACCCTCCCAGTCAGGTGGGCATGTTTTCGGGCTGTTTTTCTGTATGTGATTCCTCAGGACTCAGTTGGTAATCATCATCCATGCTTTAAGCACCGCCTCTAGCAGTCAGTAAGGATGAAATAGAAAGAAAGTTACGACTGTAACTATGGTTCTATGAATCCCAGATGACCGCCAGAGCGCTCGGTCCCTCGGAATGATCGTGTTTTTTTCGCAAGAAGATTAAGGGACTGAGCTGTCGTCGTCACGTGATTATATAGGCTCACCTGTGTCACCAGGGGTCACACATGACTATGTTGGTATAAGATTCTTGACCTGTGCATGCACAAGAGTGATGATTCGTGCTTTAAGCACCGCCTCTGGCGGTCAGTAGGGATTCATAGAACCTTAGTTACAGTTGTTACTTTCGTTTTTCTGATTTCTAATGGAGACGCTGAGATGTTGGTAACAACAGACTGATGCACACATTCAGAGAAAGTCAATCACATTAGTCTACAGCTAAAATTTATCATTAAAAACTCAGAAAACGGATGAAATAAGTTTCAGAAACATTTCTGGAAGTTTAATACTTCATGGAAATGAAACCTGAAGATGGAGAAACCAGGATGGCTCAGAGAGAATCTGGACCCATCCTCTGGCCTGAGATGTTGAAGGTCCTTTCTTCTTCTCTCTGCTGTGTCTAGGACTCACCATCATTGATCTGGTCTCTCAGCAGCACTTGCTGGTTAAAAATCCATTGATGATGTTCCTCCTGGAACTGCTCCTTTGGTGTCTTAGCAGTCCTCCTCTCCTGCTGCCAGCTCTGAACCTCGCATGGCTTTTCTGCAGCAGGCGAGTCGTGCATCCAGGCCTCTGCTTTAACCTCTCCATCATGGTCGCTGTAGGAGGAACTGCTCCTCCTGGTCTGGATGAAGGCTCCAGCTGTGCTCACCACCGTCGGCTTGTTTCTAAAGGGATAGACTTGCTGTGAATGTCTCTTGGCATCCATAAGCCGTTCCACTCTGCAGAACTTTGGAAACCTCGTCATCAGTTAATATCTGATCTGTGCAGAGCAGTAGGAATGCTTTCTAAATAATGTGTTTCCACTGGATCTCTGCCATGTTTTCTATCATACATTTGAAGCACATCTGAAAACTCCTGGTCTGAACAAAAACCTTTCCAATAAAGTTATGTTCAATACTGATTTCCTGCATCATCTCCGTTCATCATGAACACTCAACTCTCTCTGTGGACTGAATGTTAAAGGAAGGAGTAAAAAAAAGGATTTAGGTCTAATAAAGTTTTAAATATCGTTGAGGGTCACTGGGGTTCAAGGAGACAGAAGCAGACATAGAAAAAGAAGCATAGATACAAAAGGCAACTGTCAACCAGCTCCACAGGCGGCCCCGTCCAGGAAACACACAGCCAGGCAGACGAGCTCCGAGCCAGCTCCCATGTCAGAGGATGAAGAGAGCACATCCAGTTAGTCACAGTCAGAGAAACAGGACTACACTGGAAAACAGGCCAAGCTCCAACATCTAGAAACAAAGGTGTTGATGGCAGCAGCACAGCTGATATTTCTCTCCAGGATGGAGTCACAGCCAAACAGGAACAGACCAGATGAAGCTACTATGAGAAAAAGCAGAGAGAGCAGAACGTTAGAGATTGAACTAACAGATTATGCAGAGTGGGAGAATAGAGATAGAATGAAGCAGAATGATGGAAAAGGGGTCCCTATGTCCTCCAGCAGTCTAAGCCTATAGCAGCAGAACCTTTAATCTGCTGGATCTATCATGGTTACCCGTCTGCTCAGGTCTTCTATCTCCTTTATGTCAGAGGTCTTCAACAGGGGCCGTGACCCCTTGGGGGCCACGGAGGTATTGAAAGTTTTGGTTGATTACACTTTTTATTATTTTTTTTTTTTATATATATTCCCTCCTGCAATTTTTCCACCTCTTTAAATCCACATTAACATGAATCCAACAGACTGTAGTAAACAGATCAATGGAGGCAGAAGATGTCTTTCAGACATCAATGCTCACATTCAGAGACACACAGGAGCTCTTTCAAGCTGGGCACCGTTTCATTCACAACACCTGTCCCATCAACCAGGAATCAGAAATACTTTAATAATCCCAGGGAGGGATTACTTTAGTTACATTACTCCATCAGTAATAGAGTAACTATAGGACCAGTTTCATAGAACACATATTTATATAATATCTATAATTAGGGGGTCCCCGCTCCATCTCGCCATCAGTTTGGGGTCCTTGGCCTGGAAAACGTTGAAGACTCCTGATTTATGTGATGAATTATTGTGAGTAAATCTTTCCTGTTAAATCGTCTCAAATGAAACCTTAACACGGCGTCTCAGGAGCAGATGAGAAGCCGCGGCTGAAGAAGAGGCTTAAAAACATTAATGGACCAAACATTTTAATTGCAGAGCGCAGCTGTAAGGCGGGCCGATCATTAAACGCTTTTAACACGCCTTCAGCAGGCCGCTCTGCGCTCTGAGTGTTCATTAGGTTAACGAGAGCTCATGCACGATTACATCCAGGAGGGTCCTGCTTAGGAAGCTGATGGGATGGGAAAGGCTTTAATGGAGCACTCGTCTCCTCTGAGCAGATCTCACGTTGGTGAAGTTTCCTCCTCTAATGAGACAGATCCCATCAGGCTCCTCAGCTTTGATGTCATCGTTCAGCGTGTTTGATGATCCCACGATGAGCATCCACCTCATTAAAGGAGCTGAAATATGGATGCATCTGATCTGATCCCAGCTATCGGTCAGGATCTGAACACGCAGACAGGGGAGCGGCTCCTCACTGGACATCCAACGCACCTCTACTTTTTACACTGCAGGTAAGATAATAACTTAAAAAAATTTAATTAAAAAATACTGTTTAGCCCAGCTGACCCAGTTACAGGCCCAGCTGACACCAGCTGATGTTTATCTAATTAAAGAAAGGGCCAAAAAAAAGTCACATGGTGTTTCATCCACATGCCTTTCAAAAAGGGGCTTTCAAATTTCTAAAACATGTTTCAAAATTATTTTTTTCCTCAAATACTTTTTGTTTTATAGCTGTGTAAAAGAATAAAACAAGATTTAAAATTCCCCCTGAAATGTGTGACTGCAGGAATAATGCAACAGAAGGTATTCATTTTTAGCCCCGCCCCCTAATGGCCGCCATCATTGGAAACTAGAGGCTCAGTGCTTTCCAAGGAGGGGTCGGAGGTCATTGTGCATCCATTTTAGGTGATGTAGGTTAGGGCATAGTGCTTGAAATCCTGAAGTATCCCAAAGAATACTAGAACTAATAAGCTTGGGAAAAAACCTCCTAATAAGCTATTCTCATTTTCTATTCAGTTTAGTGATATTATTGGTACATGTTAATGAAAAATGGCTGAATCTTAGGAGCAAAGGCTTTGCCTTATGCAAAAGGTCTCCAATAATGGCAATCTATATATTTGTCTGGACAGATTCCCTTTTAGGTGAGGAAAACATGCATTTTTGCATCCTATTTCTGCCTACCTATACTTCGTTAAAACCTCTGTGGAACAAACATGCTTCAATCTATTCAGTTCAAATCTGCTTGAGTTCTAGTCTAGATGTGGATCTATAAAGTCCGACGGTTCATCCAGAGTTTCAAATGGCCTTTCATGGTGTTTTGCAGAGTTTATTTTGGAAAAAAATTGGCAAGGCAAAATCTTTATTCATTTTTTCTTTGTTTAATCACCTACAAATCAGAAATGGTGACATTTAAAATAGTGATTCCACCTGAAAAGATCAAACAATTGTATTTTGAATTTATAGTTTGGGAGCTGAACTTGTTTTTATTCACATAATAATTTCAGAGGGAGTTTGCTTCTAAGACCCTCAGGGTTTAAGGGGTTAAAGTGTTTGGTGTAAATTCAAAAACCCAAATTAAAAACAGCCGAGTTCTGTTTTAACCAGTAATCAGACAGTCGGTGGTTTATTGAAGCTCAGACCATTTTCATGCTTTCCTCTGTTTCATTCATCAGATATTCAATTAAACAGCCAGAAAACAAAGAAACCGACGACTGAAAAACACCAAGCTGCGTTTCAAGACGCCTCCGACAGCAGATCTGCTGTTTTTAGATGAGGAGTCCCACAGAGTCCTTTAAGACCTACAAATAAAAATGTTATTGATCCCAAAGCTAAACTAGAGAAGATATATTTTAATACAGTATTATTGAGTAAATTTAATAAACAGTTAAATAGGTTTTATTTCAGCTCGACTTGCTGTTATCTGTGCATGTTTTACACATATGTCCCACAAACAGCTGTTTAATAGGAGACAGGATGGTCGTCCATCCAGGGTTAAATCAGGCATAGCAGAGCTCCCCATTACTTCCAGACACATCATTAAATTAGACCCAATAATGATTTAGAGCTCTTCCTGCTTGTTCTTAATGATCCTGATCGTTCCAGGAGTTTCTGTGTGTTTAGGCAGACCACGGCCTTAATAAGAGGAAGTGTCACCATACATAAGCAGCAGAGCAGAGACGGCTGAAGGCGGGCCATCCACTCAGGGTTACTGTGTGGGTTAATGCCTGAGGCAGCGGGACGGAGAACATGTTAAACTACAGAGGGAAGGAAACTGAAACTGGAATTAAGACTGAATTCTTTGGTGATTTCACGGCGCAGGTTTGACCCGCTGACTTTCCCGCTCCTACAGGATGCCGTCTACCTTACAGAGTGTTACCTGTCTGACTGAAGGAGGCTCTCTGCCTGGACCTGGACAGGCGGTGGAGTCTACTTCCTGTCTGCCTGCTCTGGCTCTCCTCCTCTCCTTCCTCCCTCAGCTGCAGCGTCGGGGCGTCCCCTCTCTGTCCCTGTGATATCCCTGAGCTTTGCCTACTGACAGACGCGGCGTCCTGGGTTTGTTCCTCTGATGGGGGGGCTGGGCTCTCTGAACCAGGAGAAGACACCGGCTCTCCTTCATCTCCTTCATCCTCAAAAAGTTCTGGAGTGTAGAAAACAGTTTGGTCATCATCGTCGCCATGCGATGCGTTTGCTGCTGCAGGTGATCCGCCGTCAGAGCAGGGGGGGGTCGTTACTGCAGACACCCCCGGAGCAGGACTGTTGGGTTCTGCTGTGTTTTCACTCAGACTCTCTCCAGCCGCCGGTTGAGGGCTGGATATTTCAGGATGGGCAGGAGGAGCAGAGGCCTGTGGGCCCTCAGGCTGGGGGGGTCCATCCGGGGGTTTCCCTTTAAAGATGGGCTTCCTGAAGGCGGCGCTGCCAGAGCTGGAGGTGAAAATGTGATACGGAGGCCGGGCTGTGAGCAGCTGGGCTGGGGTGCTTTGCAGCGTCTTCAGAGGCTCTGCAGGAACAAAAAGCATCCAGAGTCTAGTCACAGAGCAGAGGAAGTCCTGCCTAGCTGCTGCAGCGCCGGGACAGGACAGGAAGACAGCGTGGGCATACGCTCAATATCACCCAAACAAAGCTCCGCAGGAATTAATTAAAAGCAACAGTCCCACATCTGCTCATCAGCCCAATTCAGACACGCTGCAGACCTTACAGTAATGAGGCTAGAGACCCCCCCCGATCCAAACAAACACCAAGATCTGCAGCGATGCTGACCCTCTGCAGCGATGCTGACCCTCTGCAGCGATGCTGACCCTCTGCAGCGATGCTGAACCTCTGCAGCGATGCTGAACCTCTGCAGCGATGCTGAACCTCTGCAGCGATGCTGAACCTCTGCAGCGATGCTGAACCTCTGCAGCGATGCTGACCCTCTGCAGCGATGCTGACCCTCTGCAGCAATGCTGACCCTCTGCAGCGATGCTGACCCTCTGCAGCGATGCTGACCCTCTGCAGCGATGCTGAACCTCTGCAGCGATGCTGAACCTCTGCAGCGATGCTGAACCTCTGCAGCGATGCTGAACCTCTGCAGCGATGCTGAACCTCTGCAGCGATGCTGAACCTCTGCAGCGATGCTGAACCTCTGCAGCGATGCTGAACCTCTGCAGCGATGCTGAACCTCTGCAGCGATGCTGACCCTCTGCAGCGATGCTGACCCTCTGCAGCGATGCTGACCCTCTGCAGCGATGCTGACCCTCTGCAGCGATGCTGAACCTCTGCAGCGATGCTGAACCTCTGCAGCGATGCTGAACCTCTGCAGCGATGCTGAACCTCTGCAGCGATGCTGAACCTCTGCAGCGATGCTGAACCTCTGCAGCGATGCTGACCCTCTGCAGCGATGCTGACCCTCTGCAGCGATGCTGACCCTCTGCAGCGATGCTGACCCTCTGCAGCGATGCTGAACCTCTGCAGCGATGCTGAACCTCTGCAGCGATGCTGAACCTCTGCAGCGATGCTGAACCTCTGCAGCGATGCTGAACCTCTGCAGCGATGCTGAACCTCTGCAGCGATGCTGAACCTCTGCAGCGATGCTGAACCTCTGCAGCGATGCTGAACCTCTGCAGCGATGCTGAACCTCTGCAGCGATGCTGAACCTCTGCAGCGATGCTGAACCTCTGCAGCGATGCTGAACCTCTGCAGCGATGCTGACCCTCTGCAGCGATGCTGACCCTCTGCAGCGATGCTGACCCTCTGCAGCGATGCTGAACCTCTGCAGCGATGCTGAACCTCTGCAGCGATGCTGAACCTCTGCAGCGATGCTGAACCTCTGCAGCGATGCTGACCCTCTGCAGCAATGCTGACCCTCTGCAGCAATGCTGACCCTCTGCAGCAATGCTGACCCTCTGCAGCAATGCTGACCCTCTGCAGCAATGCTGACCCTCTGCAGCAATGCTGACCCTCTGCAGCAATGCTGACCCTCTGCAGCGGATGATTATTTATCCCATCATCACCTGATGGACAGCAGACACGAACCTGGAGCTGTAGAAACGTGCTGAACAGACGCTGGGTACAGCATGCTGTCCCTGGTTCAAACCCTGATCTTTGAAGCACGTCCGCCTCTCTGCATATTTACCCATAAAACCACCAGACTGCTTCTTTACTTCTTTAAACCTGATTTGTTCATCTAAGAAAATCATTTTTGTTCAAACTCTGACTTTTAGGCTCAGTTTCTGTGAAGAAATCAGGACATAAACCTGATGAAGGCCACAGTAAGCCCTGGGAGGATCAACAGAGAGCCGTAGAGTCACGTGACGAATCCACCGACTTATTCTGATGGGAACCAAAGTATCATCAGTTTATGGAGTAAAGGCCTCCTGTCACACCTAACTGATTTCTCCAGCGTCTGCCTGTCGTCCCAGAATCTCCTAAAACTCTGGCAGGTGCTGAACTTTCTATGGATCTTTTCTATTCTGGGCGTAAACATGGAGTATTCATAACGAGTCCAGAACTTCTGTCCAATGATAGCCTAACTTCTGCATAACGCACGGCAGCGTAATGCCCAGGAAATGATGCAGTGTCCTGAGGGGGGCAGGAGGCACCTGGTCTGCAGAAAAAGATTTCTTTCATCGAGGTATTAACCTAGCTGCTGTTTACACCCGGCCAAAATAAAAAGGAATAAACAATAAAAATAATAAAGAAAGCAGGTTTTTGGTGTCAGCAGATTGAGCGTCATGTCTGCTAGGAAGGTTGTTGGTGGTGGGCGTGAACGCAGGGAGGATCCATCACCTTCTGGCTCACCCTATGATGGGGATGAAGGAGGACTGACCTGGAAGCGACGGCGTACTGATGGCAGACGCTGGCGTATGGCGGGACATTTGGAGCATGCTCAAAATAACGCTCTGTACTCGCTGTATGTCAACGTGTTCCAGCGTACTCCAGCATACCTTATCCGACCTATGTTAGCGTTTTTACCAGATTTTCCGTACGTCAGCCATTCGCTGGCCATAAAGGTGTGACAGGAGCTAAAATCTGCTCCTTTGCCTTTATGTGAAACTGCTGCAGAAATATTAGCATCTGTGACGTCAGACATGACAGAAAGCTGACGGTTCTTCCAAGATAAAAGTCAAAACGCCGAGCAGTGATGTTTACTGACTGCTGCGTGTTTAAATCTCTATGCAACCATTTCCAAGGTGTCCACTCTGCTGCAAAGCAACTGGCTGGTTTCAGGTGATTTAATGATAAATAAACACGTTATGCTGATAATGTTAATATTTCCTCACCTGCTGGGATATCCTGCTTGGCTTTCAGAGGTGTGGATGTGTTCTGCTGGAGCTCAGGGGTTTTACAACATGGAGTGGCTCTCTGAGGCTCTGTTTCTCTGCTCAGACTCTCAGCAGATGAGGCGCTGAGGGGGGGGGCCTCCTCCACCTTCTGCTGTCCCTGAGAGAAGGCCACCAGGGACTGCATTGCATTGCTGAATGTGTTGTGGTGCTGGACGAGCTGCCGGACCCATTTAGACAAACCTACGGTTGCACAGAAACAGAGTCTCTGGTGGGTACAGGCTGCCATCTAGTGCTGAAAGAAGGAAGCGGCTTCAGCAGAAACACGGAGTACCTGTGATGTATCGCTCAGGGTTGTTCTTGTACCGGTCGTCCACCAGGATCAGGGCTCCCCAGTCATTCCTGTGTCTGATGCACCTGAGGAGCAGCGTATGAACAGGTCACCTCCCAAGCAGGAGCAGAGGAGCCGTCAGATCCGGCATTCCGGCCGTTTACCTGCCCAGGGCCTGGTTCAGGGCCCGGTAGGCCTGGATCTCATACCAGCGGTGGCCTGGAAGGAGACCTCTGGACTTACAGTGCTGGTCGTTATACTTCATCTTCAGCTCCACCTAAAAATCACATCCAGCAGATTCAGGAGTCAGTTTAGCTTTTATTACCAGAGAAACATCAATATTTGGACCAAATGGGATTTAATTAACGTTAATGATAAAAGCTGCTAATTAATGAAATATTTGGTTATTTAATAATGTTTAATCCAGTTCACCAAAAGACATGGTCAAACTCTAGACAAGGTCATTTTATTTGTAAAGGGAAATTCAGTAGATGGACAATTCAAAGTGCTTTACATGAATAAGATAATAAAATAAGAGGAGAATAAAAGCAAAGGTATCGGTAAACAAAATAAAACAATAGTCATTTACTGACATTCAATTACAGCTGAAACAATCGGATTAATTAATTTTTTTAATAATTTACTTAATTTAGTAATGGATTAATCGTTAGCTGGTGAATAGAGACTTTAAAACCTGCCGGAAGAGCAGGAATTATATTAAGATTGTAAGAATATATATAATGATTTTGCATTTAAGATGAAAAAACGTTTTCATCTGTCAATCTACTCATTAATCCGGAACTCCTCAAGTGGAAAAATTTTAGTTTCACGTGGTGTGATTTAAAAGAAAAATTTCTTTAAGGAAGCTTTGGTTATATGATCATTAATTGATTAATAAAGAAATAATTGAGAGATTTTAAAAAATAATGGTTAGAGATCAGCCCTAATTGACCGGATCCCGTTAAATTCATCATAGGTTGATGAAATGTGATCTGAATGAATGTTTTAAAGCAAAGGTGGCAGTTTGCTTCTATTCTGCCCCTCATAAAAAAACCAGAACCACTGATGGTAGAAGGAGAACGCTCCAATCCAGCACCACTTTAGGACGTCACTAATTCTAAAGCGGGTTTATATCAAAGAATCTGAGGTCCTCACTAAGATGGAGATCTCATCCAAGGAGGAGAGACTGATGGCTAAAAGATGCTGCAGTCTGAGAGGAAACTGATCACTGGCTCTATGGGTGAAGGACCTGTCCAAGACCTGGAAGCTAAGATCAGACGCTGCAAGGTGATCCAAGGGGTTTGTTCAAGTTCAAATGCTTGATTTCATCTTTTCATGGTGGATTAAAGGTAGGAGGTGGATAATTAGAAGCATCCAGTCGTTACAGCGTCCCTGGAGTCTAAGGCTACGTTCCCACTGCAGGCCTTGATGCTCAATTCAGATTTTTTTGTGAAATCTGATTTTTTTAGCGTTGCTGTTCTCCTTTCTAAACATATTTGACTTATATGTGATCTCCTGTGTGAACTGCAGTCATACAACCCAAGTGTCCCGCATGAGCAGTAGCGGACGCCATGACGTCACAATTCAGCGTGCGCTGTGTTTACGGAAGTAAACATGGATGGTAGTGCCGGGGAACATCTAGCGATCTTTCCCAACCTTAAAAACTCAATCTTTCCAAGATGCTTAAACATAAAGACTGCTCTCCACATCATCATCCACCATTGTTGTTGTTTTTCTTGCTCCTTCTGTGTAGCAAGAAGCAGAAGAGTGACCACTGTCGGGTATTAATGCGACCTGGCCGTTCAGACACAGGTCGCATTAGAAAAGATCAGTTCGGTATGGGATTCAGGACCACAGAGCCAAGCTGCCTGGGTCGCACTGGAAAAAAATCTTGTCTTGAGTTGTTCAGACTGTCATGAAAAGATCCGATCCAGGTCTCTAGGGGCAAAAACATTTGATCAGCCTTTCACGCTTCAATCCGAGGAGCTTTAGTGAGACAGAGAGCAGAAACCCTGAACCTGATGGGCTCCATTCAGAGGTCAGACAGGAAACGGTTCTCCTGGTGGACGTACAGGATGAAACAATGAGGTCTATCCAGGCTTCCCAAACGGGGAGCAAAGCGGCGAGCCGGGCCAGGCCACATCAAGCATCCTGGCACCAAAATGCCACAAAAGCATCCGTCCATCCATTTGCATCTGTCGCCGTCGATTTTGGCGCTAACCTTTCAGAATTGACAAGTGAAAAGTTCAGCTGGCGTCTGACGAGATGCCATGCCAGGCAGGCGGCTGAGCACGGCTCTAACTGTTTCTGACAGGTACCGTGTGTTCGCCCAGAGCCAGGAAACATGAGGCGGCGGCAGGTACGCCCCGTCCCCTCACGCGCATCGCCGCCGTCGCTGCTGCAAACTAACAGGCCGTCACAGCAGATCCAGAAGTCACGCCAAAGTTTGATCACAGCCGATGAGCTGAGGTAAGGGAACCAGGAGGAGCGGGACTCTGAGCAGCCGGGCTTAAAGCAGCCTGCAGAAGGTGAGGTGAGCAGAATATGGGGAGAATAAAAACGCTGCTGGCTCTGTGGTGACAACTTTGCCAATGAATGAGACACCAGAGCAGTTAAAGAATCCACTTCTCAACCCTCAGAAAGGTTGGTAGCCTGCAGCCAGCGGTCATCTCAAAGCAATCACAGTCGTGCTCCGTCCCACGCCGCCCTCCGATCTGACATGACAGGTTGCATATGTGAAAAAGCCAATTCTGGCTGCTAGCAAATATCACCAATGTGCAAGAAACCACAAGCTAGAAGGGATTAGTTAAAATGTCAGGGGATCACTCGCTTGCTGTGGCCTCGTCCTCCACGGCAACCTGTTCATCTCCAAAAGCATCTATTCCTCCACCAGGCATGATTCGCAGCTCAGCGCATCCGCTGCAGCCAGATTCTACGCGGCGTGTGTGTGCGCGTCAGCATGCACGCCCCTGGCAGTCAGGGACATCTTGTGCCTGTCACTGAGATTGCCGAGCGCCTCGTCTGCCACATGTGGCTGAGCTGACAGCTGAGAGGCTCGTCTTTGAGACGCCGTGTGTGTTTCCAGACTGACAAGGGCACTGGGCTATTACACTCCTCTCCAATAAGTTAATGGATCAGCTCACACCGGGCTGCTGTCAGCCTCCGCCTTTTAACGCACTCGTCTTCAGCTTGACTCAAAGATAAGTTGGTCAATGGAAACATTGATGTTTATAGTGAAGTTTGGAAATCAGAGTTCAACCTGCCCACAACCTCTGCTCCACAAATAAAACATTACAAATAAAACTCTGGCCTCACTTTGTCTGAATATATCCAATTTAAAGGAGAACTCCGCTCATATTCAGAATTCAAACTTCTGAAAGTTCTTTAAATCTGAAATGATTCCATCCTGTTCAATAAATGATCAGTGTTTTTAATTCAGAGTAATTTTCATGTGAATGTGTTTTACTGGAGGCATCCATGTTTGTCAAAGAACACTACTGCCACCTACTGGTTAGTGACGTCACGGTGCGGTATCAGCTGTTGATCAAGTCCCAGTGCTGTATCTGGTGTTTGTCACAACGCGCTATTATCCAAGTCATCTTGAAAACATTCTTCTTCCAAATGTTGGCTACATATTACGGGTTTTTTCTCTGGCCAGAAGTTCGATGGCAAATCCTCCCTCTTCAAGTTGGCGATCCAACGACCAACCCGTCCGTGGAGGATCAGGAATCAGAAAGGTGGAATAACTCTTTTTTTCACTTTTACCCGATGTATTCCAGCATCCAGCTGCCATGCACGTGGGCATTGTCAGTTTCACTATAGCTCTGGTGAATTTCAATGGTGAAGTCCTCTGGAAATCTTCAATAATTGTTGTTGATTGCAGATGTGTCTAGTAGTTCCCATTGATTTAGCTTGGAAAGCGGGGAGAATGGCGCTAGGCTTACCGCACCGTGACGTCACTGCTGGAAGATGGCAGGAGGGAGGGGCTAATATATTTGGGCAAAAATGGCCGCTCCCAGAATCAGTGATCGCGGTGAACATTATTGATAATTATCATTGATGACGTGTGAGTTTATTACTCTTTAATATTAGCTGCCTGCTGTGTGTCAGAACTGATGTTTTCCTCAGTAGTTTATCTAATCAGGACAGTTCCTCAGTCCGGCTATAAACCGTTATAATCTTCATTCTGTATGTGGCAAAGTTTTGGAAATGGAATGAGAGCGGCATCCTTCAGCTAAGAACAAAGTGTCCTATTTTGATAAGGCTGGAGCCATGGATGTCTCCTCATCTGACGTGTGTGATGTGATGATGTAGCAGACTGGAGATGTATAAAATGCAATTTTAACTGTTAATCGAGGCCACTTCCTGAGAGGTGAGCCCAGTTGGTGAGCAGCTGCCTTCTGTAACCCTGAGCAACTTCTCTGTTCTGAGTAAGATTATAATTTCTATCAGAATCTGTTGTCATGCCTGATGGTTTAAGAGCTTTCTCCATCAGAATGAAGCCCTATGTGTGCAATACTGAGAATAAATACCTTTTTGATATCTGGGAGGCTGCAGTATTTTAATGCTTACTGATGTTTGCAAAAACAGATTCAGCCATTTAAACGGACCATCAGTCGCCTTAATGTCCACGAATATAGATGAAAGGATCATTGCAAACGGGTTAAATCAGAGGTCATTGATGCTCAACAGCACCGAGGCACAGACTGTTCACCATGAAGCATTGCTTCTCAGGCTGGACGCCGTAAATAAAGTCAGACGGTGACGATAAGCAGCTACTTAACGAGGCCTGATCTTCCTGCTCTGCTCTGCGGAAAAGCGACAGTTCAGCTGGTCGAACAGACGAAACAATATTTATTAAATGAACTGATCTAAAGCTGCTCTACGTTCAGGTAAATCCTTCCATCAGAACACCAAACCTGACATCTAAATGTTCTTTAATTATCCTCTTCAGAAGGGGAACTACCACCCAGATCTTTTTTTTTAGCTGACATATTAAATAAACAGGCGTCTAATAGAGCCGTCTGCACATCACTGGCATTACTTTGACAGCTGGTACATGCATCTGCAATCAGCTTAGCCGGGGGTGTCATTTAGCTTTGGTTCATGATTTATTGTCAACAGACAATAAATCACTGCCTTACAATGAAAAATGATCATTATAAAAGTTATTGCAAACACTAAATGTTGAATAAAAACCAGCAGTCTGGAATGATGAACTGACATTTAGGCAGCTAAAATCAAACAACCAAAAAGCTACGGAAAAGTGATCAAACT